GAAATATTTCAATATTTACAAGTATAAGCTATCAGTCCGTGTTTACACTCTATAAATGATAAAAATACTCCAACACGTTGCTACATACTACATGGTAACTAGTTGCTTGTAACGAAGTTACTCGTGGACAGTAATATCAGAAATATAATATGCAAATTAAGTTTATAATTATAAACATACTTACACCCTCATTCAATAAAGCTTCATCCTTGGGACAATTGCCCTAGACACAGAAATATGGTGTAAAATTTAAATCCAATCATTAGCATAATTATTTGAACGTGTTATTTTCAGCAACTTTTAAAGTACATCGTGTGTTATTTAACTTGCGTTCTAAAACTGTAACAAAATTCTAAAGTTGCAGTAATACACTCATACAATCTTGTCGTTTGGCAAAATTTTTAGACACAATTTTTGAGATATTTCATCAAAGTTGCAATGTGATCTAAAGTTGCAATCGTGGGGGTGTGTGATCTAAGTTAGAACACCCCTGATGAAGACACTAGACTGGAGTGTCGAAACGTTGGGTCTTGATTAGCCATTTTTGGCTGTACAGTCAGGACTGCAGTAATCATCCGTACCACCAACAGGGCCAAAACATCCGCAACATATCTTAATAAAACGAAAATAGCTACAAATACATGCCTGATGTGAGTAACGCAGGAGACTTAGAGGTATTCTTCTAGAGTATAAGAACTTCAGTTATCTGTCCAATTGGAAAAGTGAAGAAATTGAAGAGACTATAGACACTTCCCGAATTTGCTTGAGTGCACACGAAACAATAGCTTGGAATCGAGGCGGACAATGTAATCCATTGGAAATAAGTATAGTTTTCCAATGGATTACATTGCCCGCCTCGATTCCAAGCTATTGTTTCGTGTGCACTCAACAAATTCGGGAAGTGTCTATTGGACGTCTATTTTCTGACTTGTCTATTTTCTGAGCTTATGCTTGAACTTTCTGACGTTGTCACACAGGTTGTTACCTGATTCGGTGAACAGCCTACAAATGCTGTGGCATCATGTGTCAATCCTGAATGATTACCAGAGACGCTAAAACTATTAAATAAGCAAAAACTAATATACGTTAATATGCAGGGGATTTCTTGATTGAGGTAGTATCGTGCAGTGTCAAATTCACAAAGAGAAATACGCTACCGTGACGTTATGAACTATCTTGTAAGCTCCCGCTATAGTTAAATATTTTCCAACATTACTCACTGTATAACTGATACAGCCTTGAGTATAAACATGGCCATGGCAATGCACTTTCCATGTTATATATACGAGAGTGAGAAGATGATGTTAAATCTTTTACTTTGGCAATTTGGAAAGACCATGAATGAGGGGGGGGGGGGGGGGGGCGTCCAGGCTAGTATATGTATAATAAAACATTGCTGCACCTGAGCGGTTTTTTCAATATTTTTGAAATTGGCCATTATCTGTTGCCCCTTAACGATTGCTGGAATCAACATTTCGTTTTTGTTTTATTTGCTAAGAATGCAAGAAAGTCCATAGAAATGCGTTCAGTGCATGTGGATGTTCTTTTGTAACCCGCCCGGGTTCCCCGTCAATTTTTAAAAACGCCTTTAAGGAATACAACTCTCGTTTCTTTCGTTACAAGCAAATTTTTACTCACCCAACCAAATCCTGTTAATTTATGTTGAAATCCTCCAAAGATAGAGCAACGATATCCTGTAGTTACAATTTTTTCTGTCTGTATATCTTTCACGTAGGCTATGTTTCCAATCCCTGGCTTCAACATATTGCATCCCTGGTCGTCTACCATCAGTTTCTTTAAAGGACGTTGAGATTGCAATCTGAATGACCTGGAAAATAGACGTGAAGGTATTCAAATTAAATTTTGCACAAATATACATGGGATATTTCTAAACGTTGATATTGATTTAAAAAGTAAATTTCGATAGAAAACCCGTTTCTATATGTCAGACATTTTTTACCAGTGAGCTTTTGTCTGTTGAAAGTCTTCTGCTGTCGCTATCTGTACTCTGAAGTCAAGAATGGGAGCGTCACCAAGGTTACTAGCCCAGTGTGGGTCACCATACGGCTCGACTGGGAAGTCATTTGATGGTACTGTCCAGGTTATAGATTATTCTTCCTTCCGACTAAGAAATAACCACCGCCGTCGGTTGTCATGTCACAATACACCTAAAATCAATTCTGGTTATACATTGTGTATAAATTATGATTTAATATTTTATTTCGACGCTACTGCTTTTCCGGTTTCTTCATGCAGCCAAATATTAAGCACAAAGTTAAGTTAGCGTTATCATCCAGTAAGAAATTAGCGTCAATCGTTACGCTGATATACGAGGCTATTAATAATGGTCTGTTCTTTTTTCAAAATTGTTGCTATGGAATTATGAAAGTAGTACATATACCCAATATCTCTGCAATTTGCATACCCAAGGGAGTTTAGCATGAAAATAGTGTGGATATACTATGCACGGTATATATCAAATAGCTTTACATGGAAAACAGCAGTTCTAAGAATTTAAATATATTTCTCACTTGTTTAGGGTAATAGCCTCCCAGGTGTATCCAGTACATTCCATCCTTTGCCTCAGGATTACTGTCCAATATTTTCGAACAATCGAAACCAGGGCTAAAAAGCTCGCCAATTGGGTCATCTCCTGTAATTTTAATGTAGACTTGTCAGTTACTGCATTATGACTTCATTATACATGTATCTATAATATACCAAGATACGAAAAAACCTTGCTCATTGGATTGTCTCCTGTAATCCCCAAAAAACGTGCAGAGAGCGGAGAAGGCAAACTGGTCGAGTGGCGCGCGGGGGGGGGGGGGGGGTTTGGCAACGAGAGGACTGGGGCGCTTTGGGCCCCAAATTATATAGTTAAAAAAGGCCCAAATTGTTTACCAATACCAAAGTATTTCGAGCAACAAATTCCTTAAGTTTTCTTATTGCTTCAATATCGGACGATATATTACTAGCAATGGATTCAAACAACAAGTTTGTTTTTTAGTAAAACATTTCATTGCTAGTAAAATATCGTCCGGTATTGGAGCTATAAGAAAACTTAAGGAATTTGTTGCTAGAAATACTTTGGTAAAATGAAACGGAAAACAGTGTCAAGCAGCTTTCTAAACAAAATATTAAAATGTTTTGTTTAGAAAGATCTTTATTATATCAACATATGATAGATTATACTCAGCTGACACAGATCAGCAACTTCTTTTTACATTCCTCGTTGCCACAGTAACTAAGATTGGCTTCTTATAGGGTAAAATACTCTTTGTTTGCAATGACGTAATTGTGGGATTACAACTGACGGGCACTGGTTTTAGAGACAGTTTAAGACTGAAAAGACAAATTACCGTTCACTTTTTCTTGCTACAACCATTCTGATAGCAGAACAATCGTCCACAAGTCGTTTGATTGCCCGTCATTTGGATGAAAAGTCACGTGATTGCAAACAAAGAATAGGTTTGCTCCAAAAAGAATGTGAGCAAACTAAATTACCGATTACATATCAATGTATAGGTCCCGAACATAAAACAGATACGCAGGTAATAGAATAAGGCATTCATATTTTACTTTTTCATAGATATATGAACAAAGGAATTCACACAAGGATTCTCTTGTTATTAAAAAAGGTCATCAAGTTCAGATTAATGTCAGATTAAGATTAGATTAGGGTTAGATTCAGATTATATCAGGGTTAGGGGTTATAGTTGGGGTTAGATTAGGGTTAGATTCATCTTTCCCAATAAATTATAGAATATATGTAGTAAATTCAAAGGTGGAGCTCATGCTGAAAGATGGCCACCATTTTTATTTTTTCAGCATAATCAGCAATGTGATACCTTACTTCCCATCGTCCCCTGCACGCATAAACTAAAAGCTGGAATTGCCTATAGCTCAACAATTCATGCAAATTACTATAGGTATAAGCTTTCCTGAATTTCTCGGCGCATATTCTTGTATTTTCACGATATTTTGCAATGTTTTTTAAACCTAATTCCAACGACTTAAAATCCTGTTTGTGCTTTTCCTCATTTTGGGGACAAGCCGGTCAATGCCGAGTAACTCGATTAAATTAATTCCGTCCGTATGAACAGACTAAGATTGTTTGTCTTACCCAGTGAAATGAATATAACTGGAACGCTACTTCCAATCCATTCTCTTACCCAGAGCCATTATTTTTTTCACTCGGTTACTCGTTGAAAATTATGCTCTGGGTTAGACGACTAAAGGGAGAGATCTGATTGGCTTCTCAGAGAACTGCTATTTCCCAGAAGTTGAGCGGTTTTCGCTAGGCAAAATTATTCTATCAAAATATGTCAACAAAAATAGTTCGTTTCTTCGTAATACTTCTCTCTGTGGAAATTGTTACGGGTGCTAAAGCCTCCCAATTCAAGAGTATGCGCTTTAGAAACTACTGCAAGTTTTCTTGCACTTCCGGTTCCCGTGTTTCCCAGGGCCTATAAAAGTCGCGCGCGGCTGAGACGCCCTGTGAACAGGAATGATCGGAAATTTGGTTATCTTTCCATGTCACGCAATCACGAAACCTAATCCATTCCCTAGCCCTAACTTTTACCTCCTTCTAACCAATCATATTTCGTGACTGCGTGGCATGAAAATGTAATTGAAGCCAAACTTGAAGGTCAGGCCCAGTCTTTTTCACACATGTCAAAAGCACGGTCAAACCTAAGCATTTACAAAAAAGCTCTTTAACAGCGCGCTCCGATCCATGGGAACTTTAATGCATTTATTCAGGTAAATCTTCCAAGCAGACTTTATTTTTACTCGTGTGTGCAGCAGGCTGTATAGTAGCGGTTTATATTAAGCCTGGTTTCCATATGGTCGCATGGGCGTACCGGAAGGAAAAAATTAGGGGGCGGAAAGAAAATTGCCCGACTTTTCGTGATTGTGCCCGACTAGTACCGAAAAATTTTTTCCGGAAAAATTATTTTGGCGACCCCCCCCCTTGGCCAAAAATTTTTCGGTCAGTGTACCATGTTAAGGGTCAAAAAAATTTTCCGGACATACCAAAATTTTTCGTAACATCACACAAATTTTCCAAAAACCACTACATTGGCCACAAAATTGAGTAAATTTTCGACAAAATTGACAGAATTTGTCCCATTTATTTTTATAACAAACCAAAATTGCCCGACTGTAACTCGAATATTGCCCGACTGCCCAAAAAACTGGGGGGGGGTTACCGCCCCCCCCCCCCGCCCGGTACGCCTATGTATGGTCGTAATGGTCGTAAAAATAAAGTCCTGAATCATGATCTTTCTCAAAAGCCAGTTTATAATAGTTCATACCTGTAAACCACATATAAAAATATCAAGTATTCTCTAGTTGTAATCACTCCGCATATTTCGAGTTCTAAAATGTTGTATTTGGGCTGATGAGAAAGATCGTGACTCAATCTTTACGACCGTTACGACCATATGGAAACCTGGGGCCGGTTGTATAAAACTCTTAATCACTTTTTTAATCACTATTTTGTAGTTAAATAGTGATTAACCCTCAAATAGGCGCTTCTTATTGGATGACGTTTGCACTTAATCATAGTTAACTTTAATCACTTTTTTATACAACCGGCCCCTGGCTTTAAGAACTTTAAAAACAACTATACGTTGTACTCGAGTACAGAAGGGAACTCCACTGTCAACAAATCTTTTGAAATTTTGCTCATTCATTTTTTAACAGTACTGCAGTTAAGCGAGTCGACCAGACGATGCTATTGGATGATTGCTAATAGTAATGCCAAAAAAGTCATTGTTCCTCTGTTCACAAGTTTGCATAAACATGGTTAAAATGAAGCTTAGCTGGAGCAAAGACTGTGACGACGTATTTGGGAGCATGACTGTGTCTACAGCAGCTGGTGTGTTAAAAGAATCAACAATTTAAGTTTTAGAACAAATCTGAAGGCGTCAAATAAGTTGATATTAACAATGGGAATCAGAGAATGGGGATGGTGTAGCAGAAAATTCAAGAGGCTAACACAATTTATGAGGTTGGTAAATTTAAAATTCAAATATTTGTCAATAAGCTGTGAGAATTGAGGAGCAAGTCGATTTATTTGCATAAAGTTTTCTCAAATTCTCATTCCCCGGTCCAATGAGAACAAGAATCGCCTGCAAGCTGATGAGGAATGGCTGGACATTACCGACATTACCGGTCAAAGGAACAAAAACTCTCATCAACTATCATTAAAATTTGAGCAGGCTCAAAGTTGATGAGGGTTGATGAGAATCGACGAGAGTTGTCGATGAAACGCAAGTCTCGTTTCGGGACTGATTGCCATGCAACGGAACTTGATTGCCATCCTAGAGTTTTAAGCGACGAATACACTAAAGGCCGTTTTCCACTAGGCGGAATTTTCCGCGCGGAGCGGAATTTTTCTTTGTCTTGTGATTTCTCGGGTGGAACTAATTAGAAAAGACAAAGAGAAATTCCACTCCGCGCGCAAAATTCCGCCTAGTGGAAAACAGCCTTAACATTGCATGCCAACAGCTGAATGTAATCGTCTTTCAATTCGTGTATGGCGATAAACACTACAAGCATGCACACACACAGAATGCAGGCATGAAAATCGCGTTTGGCAAAATTCTGCGAACAAATACAAGCGTTGCCGTTGAAGAAATAAGATTTTGACTTCAAGACATAAACACTTCCGTCATGTATTTAAGGTTGGGCCAGTTGTGGTTGAGAATTTTAACCTTCAGAAAACCAATTGAATTGAATCAGCTTGCATGTGTATTGTCTTTATTAAATCATGAACTATGCAATCAGACCAGAAGAGCCAGATTATCAAAATTTTAGTTTTAATGGCCATATTAATCATTATTGCGCAAAACTTGGAAAAATGAACGCTTATTAATTTTTCAAAGATTTCAACTAAACATGTAAAAACGCACAAGTTGTAACAAACCTGCAGCAGACTTGTAGCAATGCCGTTCCAACAACTTGTCCGACAGGATGTGTTCGCACTGCTTGTTCCAAGCTTTTGACAAGTTGCTACAAGGTTGTTCAGTTCAACAGACTTGTTAAAAGTTGTTCCAACAACTTAATTGTTATCGTCCTGCATGCAATTCAACAACTTGTAACTTGATAAAATAACAACATTGTTACAACTTGTTGACAATTAAGCTTGCTACAAGCCTGTTGCGAACACATCTTGTTGACAAGTTGTGAGATTTTTACGTGCAGTAGTTACACTCATCCTTGGGACTCGTGCATTTTTATCATCTTTGAAAGATGATAAAATTGCAATTTGAGTAACTCACTTGTGCATATTTTTCCAAATTGTTCTCGAGACCACACCATGCAATGATATACTGTATCCCAATACACAGCTATTGATTGGTGAACAATCAGTATCTGTGTCAATGGAAGAGATGACTTTTTACAATTTATAGACAGTATTATAAAAAATGCTCAAGCAAAACTAATGATATGGCTGTTTAAAGAGTTGAATACTCAACATCACTGATGGATGATTTCATGCAGAGATTATTTTAGCAGCCAAAACAGAAACATTGATTTTACCAGAGAAATTTTAATAATCTCATTGGCATGTCTTAATTACAATAAATAAATCTGGAACATAACTATTGCATATTCTTCTGGGACATCCTGTATAAGAATGCAGATCAAGAGCTTTGGGAAATAATTAAAGTGCTTGGTGTTTCCACAAAATAAAACAATTAACCAATTATATTCATTTCCACCATGCGAACATAGTACGAATAACAGTTAATACTAAAATAATTAAAAGACACTGAACTTTGCAACAAATCAACTTTATTACTTAAACATAGACAAGATTTTACACCAAAGAATTAAACTAGATTTAACCCAATCTTAGAAATCGTAATCAGTGGCGTAACGTTATTTCAGGGGGCCCCCGGTTCCAAACGTTCGAAGGCCCCTTAGTAGAAGTGCCAAAGGCACGAGTTTTCTAGGGGTCCAGAGCATGCTCACCCTGGAAATTTTTGAATCTAGACTCTCTGAAACCATTTCCCCAACTTTGGGGAGACATTTTACAGAATTCTGATGGTCAGAAAATGACATTGTGACATATCAGAGGCCCTGGCCAATGTTTTTGCTCTACAGCTGAGTCTGGGGGCCCCTATTTGGCCCATTGGGGTTGCCCCTCCCCCCGGGTTTGCCCGGTCCGAGCCCATAGTAGTTACGCCACTGATCGTAATTGTTTGATCAGTTGCATATCTCTATGTGCTGTTTTAGATTAAATAGCCCCAAATTATGTGAAACCAATATCTGAAAAGCTTTCAGTGAATTATATCTAACCTTGCATAATAAGTAAATTTATAAGTAATAATAAGAAGCAATAAGGTCATATTGATTATTAACAAGCGAAACGATTAATAAGAAACATATATGAAAACCACGAAAAACGTTTACCGAAATTTTCAAAAAAAAATCAACGGGAAGTACTTGTAACAATAACTTGTAATAATCAAACGACACGCAAGTCATAGCACGTTTCAACTGCTATGAAATATGAGGTGTAAGATATTCATGTTCAGCTGTATATTAGAAACAAACCACTTTATCAATCGTTTTCACTGGACACAATCTGTATTTAACGTTTCGTATATATTGATACCTCACAGTTTAAAACATGCATGGATGACTTGCATGTCGTTTCATCAGATTTATGATTCAATTGTAGACTTATTTCTTTCTTGAGATATTCAAGAATGTTCGATGCGCAAATTCTCCTAACTATGACGTGAAATTGCATAAAGGCTTTGTGAAATTTAAATTATAACTCTTATAGATAACTGATTTGAATATGTCGACATATAGTATATATTTATAGCATGTTGACCTAACACATATGCACGGTTTTTCGATGAACGATATAGCAAGATCTTCCAGTTTGTTTTTT